AGCATGGTATATGCATGGTACCAAACAGATATATAGATGAATGGAACAGAACAGAGACCTCAGAAATAACACCACACATGTACAACCATCTGATTTTGACAAACCTGACAAGAACAAGCAATGGGAAAAGGATTCCCTATTTAATAAATGGTGCTGGGAAAACTGGCTAGCCATATGCAGAAAACAGAAACTGGACCCCTTCCTTATGCCTTATATAAAAATTAAGATAGATTAAACACTTAAATGTAAAACCCAAAACTGTAAAAATCCTAGAAGAAAACCTAGGCAATACAATTCAGGACATAGGCATGGGCAAAGACTTCATGACTAAAACACCAAAAGCAATTGCAACAAAAGCCAAAATTGATAAATGGGATCTAATCAAACTAAAGAGCTTGCACAGTAAAAGAAGCTATCATCAGAGTGAGCAAGCAACCTACAGAATGGGAGAAAATTTTTGCAGGTTACCCGTCTGATAAAGGTTTAATATCCAAAATCTACAAGGAACTTAAACAAATGTACAAGAAAAAACACAACCCTCTAAAAAAATGGGCGAAGGAGATTTACAGATACTTTTTAAAAGAAGACATGTATGCAGCCAACCAACATATGAAAAAAAAGCTCATCACGGGTCATTAGAGAATGCAAATCAAAACCACAATGAGATACCATCTCACAACAGTTAGAATGGCAATTATTTTTAAAGAAACAACAGATGCTGGCGAGGCTATGGAGAAATAGGAACACTTTTACACTGTTGGTGAAAGTGTAAATGAAGTTCAACCATTGTGGAAGACAGTGTGGCAATTCCTCAAGGATCCAGAACCAGAAATACCATTTGACCCAGCAATCCCATTACTGGGTATATACCCAAAGGATTATAAATACTTCTATAAAGACACATGCACATGTATGTTTATTGCAGCACTATTTATAATAGCAAAGACTATGAACTAACTCAAATGCCCAACAATAATAGACTGGATAAAGAAAATGTGGCACATATACACCATGGAACACTATGCATCCATAAAAAAGAATGAGTTCACGTCCTTTGCAGGGACGTGGATGAAGCTGGAAGCCATCATTCTCAGCAAACTTAACACAGGAACAGAAAACCAAACACTGCATGTTCTCACTCATAAGTGGGAGTTGAACAATGAGAATACATGAACATGGGGAGGGGAACATCACACACCAGGGCCTGTTAGGGGGTGGGAGACAAAGGGAGAGCATTAGGACAAATACCTAATGCATGTGGGGCTTAAAACCTAGATAAAGGGTTGATAGGTGCAGCAAACCACCATGGCTCATGTATACCTATGTAACAAACCTGCACGTTCTGCACATGTATCCCAGCACTTGAAGTAAAATAAAATAATAAATAAAGTATTCAGGGATAAAGAGAGAAAAATAAATTTAGATTGTATACACATATAAAATGCATTTTGAAAGGTAAGCTTGTCTTTTTTATTCCTTAAAGGAGCAGATATTAAAAAAAAAAAAAGAATCACTCTTATCTTTAGCCTCCCATATATTTACTTGCTTCTTCACGAGTTACTTGGTCTAATTCAGTATGTAAGTAACTGACTCTCACTGCTTCTTCTGTGACAGGTAAAACTTGCATTAAATAGATGTGTGCGCTTTTTTCTTTGGACCTGTCTTATGTCAATTTGATTCTCAGGCTCAGGAAAAAAAAAAAAAAAAAAGCCCTTAAAGGGGAGCTTAGCTTCCCTCCATGACCCCAGTGGTGACTGTAATCAAACCACATCTTCTAGGCCAACAGTACCACATCCTATGGCCTCTGTTGCCTCCCTCCAGCACGGCCTCTCTGGAGGAGGGGAGGCAAGGGTGGTGAGATCTCAGGCCTCCCTTACTCTACCTCCTATTAGTGATATGATCCCTGCTGTCACCTCTCCCACCACACTGTGGGCTCCAGGGAGCAGGATTCACATTTGTCCTCCCTGGCTCCAGCAGACTCCAGGCACAGGTGTTCTCAGAGTAAAGGGTTCACTGTCTACTTCCTGGGTGAATCACTTTCCCCCCAAGCCCATAAGGTGAGCGCAGTGGTGCCCTCAGCTCACTGCCTAAGGACAGGCTCCAGGCTGTGGCACAGGGAGGGGACCCCAGAGAGCCTGTGGACTCTGCTGAGGAACCATAGGAGCTCCCAGAGGGCCAAGTGCAGGGCAGAGATCTGAGGAAGCAGCTGCTCAGATAACTCTAGTCCTGCAGAGGCACAAATATGGCTGCTATTATACAGAACGTGAGGCCAAAAATGCTAGAGACATTGCTCCTGAATCTCATTTTTGCCACTTTTAAAACGGAAAACAACCTGCCCTCCTCTCCCTGGGTTGTTGGGAAAATCCACCACATGAAGATGTGCAGTCTCTGACTGGGAGCAGGACACCAGCTGCCCAACAGCACAGGCTTGAGGCAGGGCACTGTCCCCACTGTCCCCATCTCCAACCTGGAAGCTAGGGCTTCGCTGCCCTGACACTCCTGGATACAGAGAGGATCAGAACTAGGACTGTGGTCTCTCTGTAAAGGCTGGGTGAACAGCCATCTGGGGCCACGTGGATGGAGACCTTTCCTGCTCTTCAAACTGCAACCCGGGTTGGGTACCTACTAGGACAACTGGAAGCATGGCAGGTGAACCAGGCTGTGGCCTTGCAGTGCCATCACTGTCCTCACTTGAACTCTGCATGGTGCTTTACCCCAGTCTTCCCCCTCCCCACCCCAGTCTTCAGAAGCTTCTGCCCCAGCTCAGGGAGCTGGTATGGAGGTGCAGGTAGGAGCAGGTGCAGCCTCTGCTGGGTGGAAGACACGTGCCCTGGAGATCTAGAGTCCAGAGTGACTGATACCAGCCCTAAGGATGCAATTTGACCTCCCACATCTGTTACACAACTTCTGAAGTTTACACAGGGTTGCTGAAAATTTTTGTCTCCTGCTCCTTTTACAGGAAAGAGCTGGGGCCACACCAGAGTCACAGAGCTGGAGCGGGAGCAAGGCAGGGCCCAGCCATCCACTTCCTTCAATCCCAGTATTCTTTGACAGCCTGAGAGCCTGAGACCACGAATCTTGATTCCTATTTTGATAGAGAGAGGGACTGAGTGGAAGGACCTGGCACAGAGATTGGACCAGCCTAGCAGTAACAGAGCCAGGACCTGGGTCAGGAACTGAGCTCAGCTCCAGGCTCATGTGATATCATCCTGACAGCCTGAGGCCACAGACCTTATCTCCATTCACAGGAATGGCAGGTGGCAGGGACTGGCCCCAGCTGACCACAGTTTCCCAAGTGCACAGCTGGGAATTCATTCTCCCTGCCGCCCTCCCCTGCTGTCTCATCTGGATCCCTGGTCATCTACTCTCAATATCAAAAAACTCCTGTATCCTTGAAAATCCCTAATACATAGGGAAGGAATGAAAATACATAACAATGTGATGTATCATGTTTTACTTCTTAGACTAGTAAAGAATGTGGCCGGGCGCAGTGGCTCATGCCTGTAATCCCACCACGTTGGGAGGCTGAGGCAGATGGATCATGAGATCAGGAGATAGAGACCATCCTGGCCAACATGGTGAAACCCCATCTCTACTAAAATATAAAAAATTAGCTGAGCGTGATAGGTGCACACCTGTAGTCCCAGCTACTTGGGAGGCTGAGGCAGAGGAATCGCTTGAACTGGGGAGGCAGAGGTTGCAGTGAGCCAAGATCGTGCCCCTGCACTCCAGTCTGGCAACAGAGCAAGACTCCATTTCAAAAAAAAAAAAAAAAAAAAAGAGAGAGAGCTAAGTGTAGCAAGGGTGTAGGGACAGAGGCACATTTGTGGACTAGGTGTGAGTATAAGCTGGGTTCAGTGGTCTTTGGAGGAAAATTTGCGGACATCTAAAGAAACTTCTGAAATCATTTATCCTGCAGAAGGAATAAGGTGCTACTTCTAAGGAGGTGCCCAATAAGCTGGTGCACATGGATGTGTGGACACACGATAGATACATACAAGGTTATTTAGAACAATAACCCATGCAGTAAAATACGATACCCTTGTCAAAAAGGAGATCCATCTCGTGCCACTGCACTCCAACCTGGGTAGCAAGAGCGAAACTCCGTCTCAAAAGAAAGAAAAAAGAGCTCAATCTTACTGTACTGCCATAAAACAGCTAATGTGATTTATGTTCGCCCCCAAATTTTAAAAAGCAGTTGTGCATTTAAATGCATTTAAAAAGGCAAGACTGCCCAGGTGTGGTGGGCTCACGCCTGTAATCCAAACATTTTGAGAGACTGAGGCAGGTGAATTACTTGAGGTCAGGAGTTGGAGACCAGCCTGGCCAAATGGTGAATCACCATGTCTACTAAAAATACAAAAATGAGCCAGGTGTGGTGGTGCAGTCCTGTGGTCCCAGCTACTAAGGAGGCTGAGGTGGAAGCATTGCTTGAACCCGGGAGACAGAGGCTGCAGTAAACCAGGATCATACCACTGTGCACCAACCTGAGTGACAGTCTCAAAAAATAAACCTCAAAAAGGAGAAAGAGAAAGAAAGGAGAGAGAAAAGAAAGAGGAAGGAAGGCGGGAAGGAGGAAGGAAGGGAGGAAGAAAGGAAGAAGGGAGGGAGGGACAAAGGAAGGAAGGAAGAAGGGAGGGAGGGAAAAAGGAAGGAAGAAAGAAAGGAGGGAGGGAGGGACAGGTGCCCTGGGAAGGGGAGAGGATCAGGACGCGCCTGGAAAGCAGACTCTGAACCTCAAGATTCTGCTCACAGCCCAGCGCGCGACCCTGGGAGAAGTCAATTCCCCACGCGCCTCCCCCAGCTCAATCTCCCCAGTTTCGGTGCCTGTCCTGTCGCGCGCAGGACCCAAAAGCAAACCACAGCCCTGGGTGCCGCCGCCTGGGCAAAGGTTCGTTCCGTTTCTTCCCCTCCCCGCCCCACTTGGACGTGCTTGCAGAGGGTGGCGTCGACGAGGCTGTTATTTATTTATTTATTGTCACCAACCTGTGGTGGAATTTGAATACCGTCTCTGATTCGCCCCGCTCTGAATGACGCCTGCCGGGGCGGTGAAAGTGTAGCGGCGCCGCGCCACACAACTCATCCTCCACACGCAAGTCTGCACGCGCCCCGCGAACACCGTAGACTCCAGGGACATTTCCGCGACCACGAATACACGGGCGATACTGGATCTACTGTAAAGGCTGAAACCCGCTGGCCTGGGGGACGAAGAGCGTTTCCTACCGCCGTCGGACAGCTGGTACAGAGCGCCCAGACCCCCTCGGGGTCCCGGAAAGGGCGCGGCCCCGGGACCCAGGACAGCGTGGGGAGCCATGTCTGGGCTTCTCACCCCCAAGACCCTTGTGCTCGTCGTCGTCGTCTCGGTGCTGCTGTCGGTGAGTCCCCGCCGCGAGCCCTGGGAAGAGCGCGCCTGGCGCTAGGAGGGGGCCGGGGGGGGGGGGGCACGGCGGGGGTGCCTGGCCTGGATCGCCTTCTGCCGGGCATGTCCGGGCAAGACGTACCCGTCGTCGTCGGAGTCTGGGGAAGAGCAGGGTCCCGGGCTGGGCAGGACTGACCCGGGCCAGGAGGGGTCAGAGCGCGCGCTTCGCTCGGGGTAAATCCCCGAATACAGTGGGGGAGGGCGGCAGGTGGGAATTCCCCTGGAAGCCGCGGGAAGCCACGGAGAGGTCGTCGGACTTAGATTCTCTTTCCTTACTTTCTTTTTCTCTCTCTTCCTTTCTTTCCCTCCCTTCCTTCCTGCCTTAATTTCTTTTTCTTTTGCGCCTTCGAATGAATTCCGAAAGATGCTCATTGCAGTTCGCTTTGAACAGACAAGTCTGCAGCCAGCAACTCTCCTGTGGTAGCTGCGGCCCCGCGATTCTGTTTCGCGCGCTGGAGCCGTCGCGGGCGCAGCTGGAGAGGCCCCTTCCCCTCCTTAGCGGCTACGCCCCCAAGCGCGCGGGGCCGCTCATCACACCCGGATCTGGCAGCCAGACCCGGGATCCCGTTTCCTTCGTGAGCTGGGGGTGATGCGTTTCACACGTGAAGCGGGTACTGGAGCCTGAAGATATTCAGGACGAAAACACGTGCGGTTCTTTCCAGATTGACCCGGCCTCCCGCCAGTACCACTCTTTGGGGTTCCTCGGGAAACGAGATTTAGAAAGAGGAAGTCTTCCTAAATCAGGCACTTGCTGCTTGATAGCAGTTGCATTTTGGTCTGGGAAGGGCCTTTCTATCCACCCCCAGGCAGGTCTCTGTGTTAATAGGGAAGGAAGATGGGCTCTGTAGGGAACAGCACGGTGTGCTCAACACTTGGAACACAGCCTGGGCCAGGAGCTGGGGCTGGGAGCGGTAGTGAATCATCACATTTTACAGCGGAGGAGAACGCAGCTCAGAGGGGGAAAGTGTGTGGGCCCAGGCCTAACAGGAGGAACTGGGAAAGTAGGGTCAGGGGAATGCTAGTGTTGACCCAGAATAATGTCACTGTGAAGCACTGGAGTTGTATTGGAATATTGTTACACACCTCATGTTGAGTTCACTGCTTCCACCTCACACCACTGTGTGTTCTTGTTCTCACCTGAGTGGAGGGAGGGTGGGAACCGTCCTGGTGAAGCGGGTGTACAGGGGCTCTGCCTCCACCTGCTGCTGTGGTTTCTGAGGGCCTCGGCTGCCCGGCATCTTGCTTCTCTGTGGGTGGTGGATCTTTGGTCTCTGGCAGCTTTTAGGATTTTCTTTTTTTTTTTTAACTTTTACAGGAAGTTTAATCAAATATACAAGGAACAGGAAATCCAAATATGACAAACTTTTCCAAAGAGTAGAAAATGAGTACATCTCTAAACACATTTTATGAAAACTAATAAAACCTCTATATCAACCAGGATATTTCTTAGCACTGATTTGCAGTGACTTAGTTTGTTTGCCCAAGGTTGTGTTGAATTTCTTCGATTTTTGGCTTTAGACTTGTATGTTCTTTCTACTTGTGAGATTTATCTGTAAAGAAAGCCACAGCTGGGTTGTGTTAAAGTTCTTGGATTTGGGGTTTTAGAGTTTATGTTCTGCTTGGAGATTTTTTTGTTAAGAAAGCCACAACAGCTCACGCCTGTAATCCCAGCACTTTGGGAGGCCGAGGTGAGTGGATTGCATGAGGTTAGGAGTTCCAGACCAGCCTGAAATCCATCTATACTGAAAATACAAAATTAGCCTGGCGTGGTGTTGGGGACCTGTAATCCCAGCTACTTGGGAGGCTGCGGCAGGAGAATCACTTGAACACAGGAGGTGGAGATTGCAGTAAGCAGAGATGGCACCATTGCTCTCCAGCCTGGGAGACAACAGAGAAACTGGAAAGAAGGGAAGGGAAGGGAAGGGGAGGGGAGGAGAGAGGAAGGAAGGGAAGGGAAGGGAAGGGAGAGTAAGCAAGCCACAACAGGGTTGGGTTGAATTTCTTGGATTTTTAATTTTACACTTTATGTTCTACTTGTGAGATTTTTCTGAAAAGAAAGCCACAACAGAGCTATGTTGAATTTCTTGGATTTGGGGTTTTAGAGTTTATGTTCTACTTGGAAGATTTTCAGCCATTATTTCTTCAAATACCCTGTCTCTTCCTGTTTTTCTTACATTTATGTTAGAATGTTAGATTTTTGTATCAGAGCTAACTTAGTATCTGTTCTTTTTCTTCCCCCATCATTTTTTATGTTTCACTTTGGATAGTTCCTAGTGAGGGCTCATTAATCTGCTTCTGCAGATGCTAACCTGCTGTTAATCTCTTCTACCATATATCAGAAATATATTTTTTAAGCTTTAGAGGTTCTCTTTTGGCCTTTTTAGTATCTTCCATCTGCTTCCTGATCATCTTTGTGTTTTTCTTTTTTGAGACAGGGTCACATGAGGTCAGGCCTCTGTCACCCAGGCTGGAGTGCTGTGACACAGTCAGAGCTCACTGTAGCCTCAATCTCTTGGGCTCAAGTGATCCTCCCACCTCAGCCTCCCAAGTAGCTGGGACCACAGGCACTTGCCACCACAGCTGGCTAATTTTTGTATTTTTAGTAGAGACTAGGTTTCACCATGTTGCCTAGCCCGGTCTCAAACTCCCAGGCTCAGGAATCCTCCCAACTTGTCCTCCCAAAGTATTGGGATTACAGGCCTGAGCCACCATGCCCAACCTATGATTTTGGTGTTGTTATTGTTTTGTTTTTTAAATATCCTTGAGTTTATTTGTAAGCTTTAGATGACCTGTTTTAAGTTTTTAAATCTATCCATGCCATTATATCTGTTATTACTGCCACTGTGTCTGTTGATTGCATTCTTTCCCCTGTCTGTAGGAACATTTTCTGTCTTTTTTCATGCATAGTTTTGTTTTTTTTTTTTTTTTTTTTTTTAGACTCGTTCTCTCACCCAAGCTGGAGTGCAGTGGCACGATCTTGGCTCACTGCAACCTCCACCTCTTGGGTTCAAGTGATTCTCTGCCTCAGCCTCCCAAGGAGCTAGGATTATGGGCACCTGCCACCATGCCCAGCTAAGTTTTGTATTTTTAGTAGAGACGGGTTTCACCATCTTGGCTAGGCTAGTTTTGGACTCCTGACCTTGCGATCCACCTGCCTCAGCTTCCCAAAGTGCTGGATTACAGGCATGAGCCACTGCACCCAGCCCATGCATAGTACTTTTTTATTGGATTATAGGCATGAGCCACTGCACCCGGCCCATGCATAGTACTTTTTTATTGCATGACATTGTGAATTTTGCTTTCTTGGGTACTGAACTTCATTATGTTGTTTCCAAGTCTTTTGGATATTATTCTGGTCACAATTAGAAAACTGAGGATCAGTTTGCTCCCCCAACACTACCTTTTAACTAGTTCTAACTATACGTTGTGTTCAGTTGCTGTATTCAGGGGCTCATGTAGTTAACTACTAAGGGTACAGTGGTCAATTTCTGATGGTAACTAGCCAGCACCCCTGGCATGTGGTCTGTCTGTCCACTGTGGGAAGGGGAGCATGCAGCGTTCCCAGCCCTGTGTGGGCCACAATCCTGGCCCATCCACTATGTCTGGTGGTCTCTCCTCCCCAGGGTGGTTTCCTCTTAGGCACCAAGAGTCAGTCTCAGCAGACACTGGATGTGTCTTCTGCATGGATCCAGAGTCCTCTGGGAAGCTGCTTCCCCCAGTCTCTGCTCTGCACTTGGCCTCTGGGAGCTCCTGCCTGTGGTTCTCAACAGTCTACACAGCTCTGCAGGGCTCTGTCTCTGGTGCAGCTGGAGCCTCTCCTTACGCAGTGAGCTGAGGCCACAGCTAGTCTCACTGTCTGTGCTGGGTGGGGAAGTGATTCATTCATCAGGTAGATAAGCAGCCCTTTACTCTGGGAAAGTCTGTGCATGGGTGGGGGAGGGACAGATGAGCCCTGTGGGAATACTGCTCCCTGGAGCCCACAGTCCGATGGAGCAGGTGACAGCAGGGAGCTAAATAACTCTCAGGAAGCATGGGATCCTACCACTGTCACCTCTCCCACCTCCTGAGCCGCTGTGCTGGCTTCAGAGATGTCATCCCTCCATATTGGACTCTGACAGAGGAAGCCTGAGCAGTCTCAAGGCTCCAGGTCATGGTATTTTGGCCAGTATAATATGGTTTGCTTAAAATCAACACTGAGGATAATGATTGTACTAATCAAAGCATATGTTTAAAGTTCTGTGATTTAAGCACTCTCCATACATATTGACACTTTCAGTTCACACAAGAGCCGTGCAGGAACTGTGATTATCCAGGGCAGTTGTCAGCATGTGGGTGACCCAGAGAAGAAGGAAGAGCTACTTGGGTTAATTTGTGACCAGAAACATTAGCAGGCATTAGTCTCAAAGTTGGTATAAAGCAAGTGAGCCCAAGTCACAGGTAGGTGAGTCACAAGACAAGGAAACTCTGCCAATGACTCATTTCCGGTAGGAGACAGGGTCCCTAGAATTCAATGGAGCAAGAACTGAAATAAGCGAAGCGCCTGGCTTCCCCCGTTTTGGTTTTCCTTCTCTCTCCTAACCATGCCCACACCCTCACGCCCCCATGAGCCCACATCTGAGGACCCACACCGCCACAAATGTCTGGCCACATGCCCAATCTCTCGAAATCAGAGAGGCCCGAAGACTGCACAGCCTTGTCCTGCACAGCAGATAGAATGAATAGTGATTAATGGATCTATATTATTTCAAGTCTCCTACGTTTCATAATCATATTACAATATTAATTCAGCAGTACCTTTTGTTTTTACTCCCCTTCCCCATTACATTGGCTTCCTGTCTGTCTGGGATTCTGTCTGTATGAACTCTTTCCTCTATGTCCACTATTGTCCCTGCCGCCGATGGCATTTATCACCTCTCCCTGGGCAGCCCCTCCAGACTCTTTGCACGTTCATGGACTTTAGGGTTCATGATGGCAGTGCCTCAGCTCCTGTGAATGGAAACTGTACTAAGGAAAGGGAGGGCCACGCCATGTTCCTGATACTCCACGGCTTCTTGCACATGCGGTCACCAGGCGCCTATGTGCCTTCCCTGAGTGAATGAATGTGGACTAGGAAGCTGCACTAACGTGGATGTTGTGTCCTCAGCCTGCTCATAGAGTGTGTTAAATGTGAGAGGTGGAGAGTGTGGCAGGCAGGCCGAGGACAGAACAGAGGATCTGAATAGAGGGTGAAGGATCACCCAGGCCCAGAGTTACCAAGGCTATTGTCAAGTTTTCACTGGGGAAATTCCCCCTTGGATCCAAACTTCAAAGATCATTGTTCACCCAGTAGAGAGTGGATTAGGTGAGTGACCTCCGGTGTGGCCTGGGCAGCATTTGGGATGGGTTCTAGTGAGTAGGGTGGGTCAGGTTGCATTATTGTGAAGGAGGCAAGTGGCAGCTGAGGCGGATCTGAGGGAAGTGATGATGATGCAGTGGGTTTGGTAAGAAGAGGGAAGAGGTTACTGGTGGATTCTAGTGTTCCTAATCTGAGACTCGGCTGAGGTCCTTACCAAATAAGATGGAGTAAATGGGCATATATGGCTTTAAGAATTAGAAACCTGAGGTTGGGCGCGGTGCTTCATGCCTGTAATCCCAGCACTTTGGAAGGCTGAGGTGGGCGGATCAACTGAGGTTGGGAATTCAAGACCAGCCTGGCCAAAATAGTAAAACCCTTGTCTCTACTAAAAATACAAAAAATTAGCTGGCATTGTGGCTTACATCTGTAATCTCAGCTACTTGGGAGACTGAAACAAAAGAATTGCTTGAACCTGAGAGGTGGAGGTTGCAGTGAGCCGAGATCGTGCCACTGCATTCTAGCCCAGGTGATACAGTGAGACTCTGTCTCAAAAAAAAAAAAATTAGGAACCTTAATGTGCTTTTGGAGACAGTATGGATACATCATTGCTCACAGACCTGCAGTATACAAAATGCTAAAAGATTTAAATCTGAGTAGAGATGAAATGAAATGGAAGCATGGATTTTTTTTTTTTTAAGACAGTTTTGCTCTTGTCACCCAGGCTGGAGTGCAATGGTGCAATCTTGGCTCACTGCAACCTCTGCCTTCTAGCTGGGATTACAGGTGCCCGCCGCCACGCCCAGCTAATTTTTGTATTTTTAGTAGAGATGGAGTTTTCACCGTGTTGGCCAGGCTGGTCTCAAACCCTTGACCTCAGGTGATCCACCCGCCTTGGCCTCCCAAAGTGCTGGGATTACAGACATAAGCCACCTCACCTGGTCAGAAAAATGGATCTTAAGGAAAGAAGGAAGATCATCAGGAATAGAAACATAAATGTACATATTAAGAATGATCATTTCCTCTTAATTTCTTGAAAATATTCACTATCAAGTAATACAACACTATAACACTTCGTAGGGTTTGTAACATATGTTACATACCTGAGACAACTATAGCAGAAAGAATGAGTAGTGGAGATGAATGAATCTATATTATTTCAAGTCTCCTACATTTTATAATAATATTATCATATTAATTCTGCCATACAACTCAGTAATAAAAAGAAATGGAATATTGACACACATGATAATATGACTGAACTTCAAATAATTATGCTGAGTGAAAGAAACCAGACAGAAAAGCATATATACTGTTTGATTTCACCTATGATATTTATAGCCAGAAATGGTTTAATTAAAAAAGAAAGATCTTAAATCAACAAGCTAAGTTTACAAATTTAGAAATTAGAAAAAGAATGAACCAAACCCAGAGTTAGCATTATAAAGGAAATAATAATTATTAGAAGAGAAATAAAATAGATAATAGAAAAACAGTAGAGGCTGGACATGGTGGCTCATGCCTATAATCCCAGCACTTTGCGGGGCCAAGACAGGAGGATCGCTTGAGGCCAGGAGTTTGAGACCAGCCTGGGTATAGCAAAACCCTGTCTCTACAAAAAATACAAAAAACTAGCCCGGTATTGGGGTGCACTCCTGTGATCCCAGTTATTTGGGAGGCTGATATGGGAGGATCACTTGAACCCCAGGGATGTAGATTGCAGTGAATCAATATCACACTACTGCACTCCGGCCTGGGCATGAGTGGGACTCTGTCTCGAAGAAAGAAAGAAAAACTGTAGAGAAAATCAGCAAAGCCAACATTGATTCTTCAAAACTATTAAACTGACAGACTTCACTAGTGAATTCTAATAAGCTTTTATGAAGAGCTAATACCACTACTTCTCAAACTCTTTCAAAATCTTGAAGAGAAGGGAACCTTTCTTGACTCTTGTTGTGAGGCCAGCATTGCTCTGATATCCAAGCAGAGAAAGATACTGCAAGAAAATAAAGCTACATACCAATATCCCTAATTGATGCAAAAATCCTTAACAAAATACACGGAAAGAATTCAACAGTACCTTAAATGGGTTACACACCATGACCAAGCTGGATTTATGCCTGGAATGCAGGAATGTTTCAACAAATGAAAACCGAACAGTGTAATACATTGCATTAATAGAATGAAGGGGAAAAAGACACATGATCATTTCAATTGATACAGAGAAAGCCTTTGAAAAGATTCAAAACCCTTTCATGATGAAAAACACTCAGCAAACTAAGAATAAAAGGAAACTTCCACAATGTCATAAAACCCATGTAAGAAAACCCCATAGCTTGGAAGTTCTAGCCAAAGCAATTAGGCAAGAAAAAGAAATAAAAGCATCTGCACTGTAAAGGAAAAAGTAAAATAATCTGTGTTTCCAGGTGATATGATCTTACTGGTAGAAAATCCGAAAGATTGCACAAAAAATTAAACTGCCAAAAATAAAATCGTATCAAATTTTGAAAATTTTGAAATTTACTGTTGTACAATAAGAGACGGTATAGATTACAATCCTGGAGATTTCAAATCAAGTAGTAAGAGACTTGCTTTACAGCAGGTATAGGACAGTTTATAAAGGAGGATATATTTTGACAATTTCATGATTGACTGTTAAAATTTACATTCTTTTTAAAGGCAATCAGCTGTTTAATCTGATTTTTCTATAGCTGCTTGGTTTAATTTCACTGAAAACTCATGACAAAGATACAATGCTTACATTTTGTGGGGCTTTCTTATGATTACAGCTGGCGTTTCAGGGATATCAGGATGTCTTAAGTTTTGGCTACATCGTTATATAAGATTGGCCTTGGGGTTATACAAGATTGGCCTTGGGGTATATATAAACTGTGTTTTTAAATTTTTCTTTAACAGTACTAAAAATGAATTCATCGAAGAAGCAGAATACAAAATCAACAGGAAAAATCAGTTGCATTTCTTTTTTTTCTTTTTTTTTGAGATGGAGTTTCGCTCTTGTTACCCAGGCTGGAGTGCAATGGCACGATCTCGGCTCACCGCAACCTCCACCTCCTGGGTTCAGGCAGTTCTGCCTCAGCCTCCTGACTAGCTGGGATTACAGGCATGCGCCACCATACCCAGCTAATTTTTTGTATTTTTAGTAAAGACGGGGTTTCACCATGTTGACCAGGATGGTCTCAATCTCTTGACCTCGTGATCCACCCGCCTCGGCCTCCCAAAGTGCTGGGATTACAGGCTTGAGCCACTGTGCCCAGCCCTGCATTTCTGTACACTACCAATGAACTATTCAAATCTAAGGTCATGAAGAATTACTCCTGTATTTTCTTCTAAGTTTTAGGGTTTTCACTTTTATGTTAGATTTTTTATTCATTTTGAGTTAATTTTTTGTATTTATGTAAGTTAAGGGTCCAAGGTCATTATTTCATGATGAGTTAATATCTAGATTTCCCAAGACCATTTTTTAAAAAGATTGTCCTCACCTCATTCAGTGGTCTTGGTACCTTTGTCAAAGATTACTTGATCATATACAGTCATGCACCACATAACAACATTTCTGTCTACAACAGACTACATATATGATGGTGGCTCCATACAGTTATGTAACACACTGCACAGGTTTGTAGCCTAGGAGCAAGAGGCTATATAGGCCAGGTGTGTCACAGGCTACAGCATCTAGGTTTGTATAAGCACACTCTCTGATGTTCACACAACACAATCACCTAACGACCCTTTTCTCAGAACAGTGTTGAGCAATGCATGGCTGTATGTGCAAGTTCATTTCTAGGCTCTCTGATCTAACCATGGGTCTGTATGTCAGGCACCTTTTAAAATCAGAAGTTCCTTATTTAGTGTTTGATTTTGTATCCCAATTTTTAAAAAGTTTTCTATATTATAACCCCCATTTGTAAAAGCATGTACGTGTGCCTGTGTCTGTGTGTGTGTCTATGTGAGAGAATGAGAGAGAGAGAGAGAGAGAGAGAGAGAGTATGTATACCTATGGAAAAATAGTGGAACTAAATGAAACAAAATATTAATGGATGCTATCTTTAGTTGACAATATCACGTGTGGTTTGTGTATTCTAAAAACTTTCCTTGTCCACATTTTCTGGAATAAACATGTTTAGAAGAGTTTTTCAAGTGTATGTTACTTGGCTTTTCCCTGAAATACAGAGGGACAAATATACATAAAAGAAGTTTGAGAGCTGAGAGCTGCAAGAAAGATGAGGGTTCTGTTTAGTCTGGGTGCCTGGGGTGAAGGGAATATGGATGGATCCTGGGAGGGGTGAGGTCTGGAAGCCACTCACACCCATCCCTGCTTTGTCCCCACAGGTCTCAGCTGACTCTGTTCCAGTCACCCAACAAAACCTAGTTCCCCAGCAGAGAGCGGCCCCACAACAGAGGTTCAGCCCCACATATGGATTGTGTCCACCCGGTATGTTCAAGATGGGTCTCTGATCCTTGCCCCTCCTCCCTTTGTCTCCATGAGCTTCCAGGCTGTTTCCTTTGCACTTCCTGGTTCTTCACTGCACAGAGAAGCATTGGGTGCCTCCAGCATGAGGCCCTGTCCTCCTGGAGCCTTCCTGCTGGGCTGGTATCAAAACACATGAATGAAAGAGACAGCCAAAGAGACTGATAGGAGCCTTGAGGGAGACTTGAGTGGGACAGAGATGGGGCTGGTGAGGCCTCCAGGCAGTGGTGACTTTGGGCTGACATCCAGAGATGGGCAGGGCCAGAGGTGCAGAAAGCCAGAAAGAGTGCTCCTAGGAGGCTTCCAAAGTAACAGTTGCCTGGGGCAGGGGTTGGGGAAGATGGAGCAAAGGCAGGGGGCTGCTGTGTGGAGAGGCAGGTGGGGGCAGATCCCACACAGAGGAAGTTGGATTTTATTTCGTGAGTGATGGATGTCCCTGAGACGTTTTCAGCAGAGGGCCACCAGCATTGGATGTGCATCTTGAGTGCTCACTCCGAGATTGAATTGGAGCAAGACAGGAAGCAGGTGGAGGGCCTTGAGTGTGAAGCGCTCCTCTGGGATGTTCTGGGGTGCCCCGCAATGTCATCTGAGCCCCCAGAGAGGCAGCAGGAACCTCGCCTGAAGTGTGCTTGACTGTTGTGTTTGACTCACTTCTTTCCCTCTGCCCCCCACCGTGTGTATGAGTTAGGAATTGATTGCTGCATGTGGGCTTCCAGAGCTGGCAAGTGTAGCACACAGTGGTTTTTAAAATCCGTTTACAAATTTGCATTTCTTTTTTATGACTAAGGGCCACAAGAAAGGCTTGCCTGAGGGCACACTCTCAATGCACGCATGAGCTTGTCAGGAGCAGAGCATGGAGAAGAAAGAACCTAACCTGAAACTCATCTGTAAATGTACCTACTGCTGCGGTTGGGGGTCAAGACCAGGGTGCTGGAGGGGAATAGGAAGGACTCAAGACGTATTTGGAGGGTGAATGGATGACGTGTTGGGAATGAGGACGAAGAGGCACCAAATTCAACTACTCAGGGTAACTTGAGCCTCTGCAGGGACAGTGTGTGGCAGGGCAAGCAGTGCACATTTGGGGACTCTAGCGCATAGGTGACGCTTGAAGCCTCTGTCTTGGGCGTGTCCACCAGGAAGAAGCTGTAAATACTGAGAAGTGGGGGCACAGCTGAGCCCATTAGGATTTGCTCTCAGAGATAATAGGCCAGGGAGACAGGACTGCAAAGGGCTGAGCAGGAGCAGTCCACAGAACTTCCATCCTGGAGGGGAGATGCCCTTCCAGCCATAGGACGGAGACGTGGAAACTCCTCGAAATGTGCATTTCTCTTCCTGTGAATGAGGTCAGGAATCTGTTCATGACACAGATACCATGTGTACACTGGTTCTGCTAGGTTTTCTTCACTCCTACTAAGAGGTTAGCTTTTTTTTTAATTTTAAATCATTGAGTCACATGAATTCGTAAAGATTATAGGATTTCACCCTTTTCCCCTGGGCTGGAGTGCGGTGGCAGGATCATAGCTCACTGTAGCCTCAACCACTTGTGCTCAAGAGATCCTCTTGCAGGTGTGAGCTACTGTGCCACATCCAAACTTCTAATGAAAATTCCCAGATAAGGCCAGGCATGGTGATGCACACCTATAATCCCGCCACTTTCGGAGGCCAAGAGGGGTAAATCACTTGAGGCCAGGAGTTCAAGACCAGGCTGACCAATATGGTGAAACCCCGTCTCTACTAAAAATACAAACATCAGCTGGCTGTAGTGGCATGTGCCTGTAATCCCAGCTACTTGGGAGGCTGAGGCAGGAGAATCACTTGAACCCAGGAGGTAGAGGTTACAGTGAGCTGAGATCGCACCATTGCACTTCAACCTGGGTGACAGTGAGACTACGTCTCAAAAAAAAAACAAATTCTCATATATATTTCCAGTCATTTTGTGGTTTCCTATGTTATGATTAAGTCATTGAGCCATCTGGACTTTATTTTCTTATAAGAGGAGAGTGAGGAAGACACTTTATTATTTTCCAGCCACCTTTTAGTTGCCCCAACACTATTATTAAATCATCACATTTTTATCAGCGACACGAATCACTGTCATCATGATACATTATTAAGGTTTGTGTGAGTTGGGTTTTTTAGAGTATCTTTCAGTATTAATAAAGATAATTCAGAAATGTTGTGGGTAGTGTATAGATAGGTTATGGTCTGTTTTTTGCTTTTGCCAAGCTCTGCCTTTTAATTGCAGAGTTTAAACTATTTTCAGTTAACACAGTTACTGACAAAAAAGGATTTCATTCTGCTCTTCAGCTATTTGCTTTATGTCTTATATATATTTATATATATTTTGTTCCTCCCTTACCACTTTTTAAAAAACTTTATTTCTTGACATGTACCATTTTGACTCACGTCTTTTCTTTTCTGCATATTTTAAAATATATTTTCATTCTTTCTGAAATATATTGTTGTATCAGTATATATACATTTAATAAATATATATTTAAATATATACTTATTTTAACATATCTTAAAGATATATATCTTAAAATATATATATATCTTTAAAAAAAAAAATATATATATATATATATATATATATTTTTTTTTTTTTTTTTTTTTTTTGAGACAGAATCTACTCTGTCACCCAGGCTGGAGTGCAATGACATGATCTCAGCTCACTGCAGCCTATGGTTTCCAGATTCAAGCGATTTTTCTGTCTCAGCCTTCTGAGTACAGGGAGTAGCCACCACGCCTGGATAATTTTTGTATTTTTTTGCAGGGACAGGGTTTTACCATGTTGGTCAGGCTGTCTCAAACTCCTAACCTCAAGTCATCCACCTGCCTCGGCCTCCCAAAGTGTTGAGATTACAGGCATGAGCCACGCACCCAGCCTAAACTTTATTTTCTTACTGGTTTCCTTCACGATTACAATTACCTTCTTAAGTGCCTAAAAAGGTAGTTTTATAATACCGACATAATTTCACTGCAGTCCAGATACTGTGCTCCTGTACAGCTCCGTCTCTCCAGCTTTCCATTGCTGCTGCCGTAGATCACAGCTTCGCACGATGTGTGACCGCTAACGTAGATCTGCAAGGTTGACTTGTGATAGTTGTTTTGTGTGTCAACTTGGTTACCCAGATTCTTGGCCAAATACTATCCTAGATGTTTCTGTGAGGATTATTTATTTATTTATTTATTTAGATGGGATTAACATTTAAATCAGTGGACTTTGAGTCAAGCAGATTACCCCCATAATGTTGGCAGGTCCCATCCAATCAGTTGAAAGCCTCAATAGAAAAAAGACTGACATCCCCCAAGAAAGAGGGTGTTCTGCCAGCAGACAGCCTTTGGACCTGAGCTGTGACTCTTCTCTGTTGGCCTACCCTATACCTTTTGAATTTGCCAGCCTCCACAGTTATGTGAACCAGTTCCTCAGGATAAATCTCTATCTCTCTAGAGCAGGGGCCTCTAACCCCCAGGCCATGGACCAGTACTGGCTGTGGACTGTTAAGAACCAGTCTGTACAGCAGGAGGTGAGCTGTAGGAGAGTGAGCATTACTGCCTGAGCTCCACATGCTGTCAGATCAGTGGCAGCGTTAGACTCTCATAGGAGCGCGAACCCCACTGTGAACTGCACAAGCAAGGGATCTCAGTGGAGCGCTCCTTATGAGAATCTAATGCCTGGTGATCTGGCACTGTCTCCCATCACCCCCAGGTGGGACCGCAAGTGTAGCACGCAGTGGTTTTTAGTTGCAGGAAAGCAAGCTCAGGGCTCCCACTGATTCTACAGTATGGTGAGTTCTATAATTATTTCATTTTATAGTATAATGTAGTAATAATAGAAATATAGTGACAATAAATGTAATGTGCTTGAATCATCCCAAAACCACCCCCATGCCCCCAACTCCAGTCCATGGAAAAATTGTCTTTCAGGAAACCAGTCCCTGGTTGGAGACCTCTGCTCTAGAGGGCCCTGAGTAATGCAGAAGTTTTAAAGATTTGAAGTTCTTTTAAACCAACCTTAATCTCCAAGTAACAGCAATAACAGGATTATATTTCTACCTAACGTAATGCAGCTATCCTATATAGAACTGAAAACGCACTAACCCTTTCTCCAGAAGAGGATGCAAGTCCTTGAGTGACATTTACCCCTCTCCTTGATACCCTTGGAACATAAATACTACAAAGTTAACAGTACTTAAGTACTATGATATACATTCAAATATCTTATGTCACACAACAAAGGGATAAGAGAAGGAAGAAAACACAGATATTTGCTTAACATATTTTTACTCATAAACATACACACATAACACAATAAGGAAGAAATACTTATAACGATTACAATCTTTGTTTCCTTGGCTGGCCATGTCGTAGCTGGTATTTATAACAAGCTTCTTTCACTCTGCATTCTGTATTCCCTGTGCTGTCACTCAGCACCTCACTGGTCATGGCTCTATGCCTGGTAGAGTGAACCAACCTTCATTCCTGAAGGGTCTGAGCTATTAGTGGTCTTGCCTTAATTGGGCTGTTGTGGTCTTCCATTGGCTTTAATCACCGGGCATGGCAACACTAAGAGATGCCCTAAGGAATCTCCTGTATTCTAGACACCCTCTTCCTTACGTCCATTGTGGAATAACCGTCCAATTTCCCCTTGTGGTCAGAATCAATCAATCCAGCCCGCAGGGTTTGTGTAACTGGTTTTTGCCTGTTGATCCAGAGGCCTGGGGAACCCAAAGTGGGCAAGAGGCAGTCTTAATTTCAAGTTAAATGGAGTCACTGTTGTGTCTCCTCATGGAATCATTCCTCCCTCTGAAACTCAGAGCTCTGGCAAAACGTAAAGTTGAGGAACCAGGCAGCAAAAATTTTGCTAACAGGTCACTAAAAGTAATGTGGAATGGGCCCATTCCCACTTCCACCCCTAGATTCCTGGACATGTGAATCATAGCGATGGAAGAAACAATGCC